ATAAAGCAAGCTTCTTTTACCTCAGAAATGTCTACTGTTAATTCGTTTGGTTTATTGAGTGACAACGATAACAATGAACCATCACTTCTCATTGTCAAGGGTGCTTCTAAGGAGCTCACTAATGAGCAACCACCCGCACAAGCTAAGCTTCCCGCTAAACCGCTTCCTCCCACACAAGCAATGAGATATTCAAAAGACACACTTTGCTATTTTGCCCTAGCCACGGACCATTTTTTTTTCAGCTACTTTAAACCCCCCTCCCCCCCTTTGACATCACCTACATCTCTCTAAAATTCTTTTGGGTTGCATTAAAATTGTGTTTTCCTTATGATCAAGTTGAAATTGTGCTTGCCTTCAGCAAACCTTGACATCCCTTACAAACCTTGATGAAAACCCTCTTTCTTGAAATAATACCCTAGGAGTTGTGGATCGGCAAGTATTTTTCCTTTGCAAAGCACACTTTGCTATTTTGTCTCTCCTTCGTCCATAAATTTCAGCTCTCCCCTTCGTCCATAAACTTCAGCTCTCCCCTTCGTCCATGGTTGAATCACTCAACACTCTCAATTTCGTGAATGAAACTCATAGATCAAGGATGCACTGCCAAAGGTCTTCGAGTCATGTTTCGGCTCTCTACCGAGTCGTGTTTTGACTCTCTGCCGAGTCATATTTCGACTCTCTGCAAAACAAGCCATTGTCTCTGTTTTGGCCTGTGTTCTGAATTGCGAGTTGTTGAATCTGTCTCGGACTGTGAGTTGTTGAATCTGTCTCGGATCCACATCGAGTTTTGTTGGCTCTTCCAAGTATCATTATGTGAAGTGTCATTTTGTGCTTCTTGTTCAAGCAAGAGACCATTGCTTCTATTCGTCACGCCATGCACGTGAAGACTTAAAGATCCAACTCGTTCGTTTATGCAACTTATTGTTCAAACTCCAGTTGCTTTGTGTAAAAGCATTTTGAGTTTGAGGAAGAGTGTTAACGTATGGATATCTATATTGATATACATTATTATGAATACATATCAGTATATATATGTATTTGTATGGGTATTTATCTCTTAATTAGGTGTCTCTGGATTATGATAAGATTAATTAGTAATTGTCCATAACCATTGGTATTTATCTTTAATTGTTACTGGCCGTATATTTATACGTGGTCTTATATATTCTTGATTAATTAAAGAAGAGAGAGTTCTCTACAGTACTTTGAGTTTCTAACAACTAAACGTACAAAAAAAAAAGATTTTATTCTTAGAAATGGTACATCTTGTGATGCATTATCTGGACCATCTTTCTTCAAGTTTTTCAAGTATTATAGATCTTCTAAATTTGCACCCTTTCTAGAGATTAGATCTTCATAATTAGATGTGAGAATAAATTTTCAATCTATTGCAAGGATTTTCGACACTGAAACTTCATTTTTCGGCAAGGTTTGTAGGCACACTTATTCATTTCTTTAATATTGATATCTTATACAAGTCGCAGCCATTATTGAAATGCTTCTACTAGTTCAAAGTTTCCCTATTTTCATAATTTTTTGAGGAGGTTAAAGAGTAAGAATGAAACTTAAGGAAGCAATCATTCCAAAATAAACTATGTTATTCACATTAAGCTATTACTGAAAGTCAGTGATTCAAAACCTGGATGGGGGCATGGATCCTCCACCCATAAATCTTTGTCGAATCATTGATTCAAATCATTCTAGATCATGGAGATCAGGAAAAAATTAAAAATTTAAAAATGTTTCTTTTTTTTTTTTTTTTTTGGAGGTGGGGGGCATGGGATATAGGGGGGAACTAAAAAAATTTTAGATAAGCTTGAAAACAAAGGAAATAAAACAATGAAAGACATGGTTTCAATGGGGATTGCGTTTCTTTCAAAATTTATAAAAAGCCATGGTTTAACAAATATGCTTTTAATGGGGATTCAAAGCCACTTTAGATGCATTTCCGCTTTACATTCATAATTTTACAGTTGAAAAAATAATACACATGCGATTCTCAAGAAAATAAAATACAGATAGCCACTTTAGATGCATTTCCGCTTTACATTCATAATTTTACAGTTGAAAAAATAATACACATGGGATTCTCAAGAAAATAAAATACAGATAGGACGATCTAAGAATAGTTTGAACGATCTAACATTTGAGCTAGTCTACTCTTGAAGTTCAAAACCTTTTTTTTTTCTTTGTTTTTTAGCTAAGATAGTCCTTTAAGAGAGACGGCAATGCGTCTGAGATATTTTTCTCAATGTTTTACTTTTTCTTTGAGGTCAAAATTCCTGATGACATCTGCTATCTTGTATTGCATGGTGATCACCTCATTCTTAGGAGTTTATTATATGGGGAAGAATGTGGTACACATGGTTTGAATTTTTGAAATGAGCGCATGTAGCATGGGCATCCTATATGGCCCACTCCTTCCAGTGAGGAAGCAAGGCTTTTTTTTTTTTTTGATCTAGAATTTTGGGATAGATCTAATATTCAAAAAAAACTATATGAATTTTGAGTTTTAAAATATTTAGATCTGACTATCCAAAAATTAGAGAATCCTTGACCTTTAGGCACACACAAACTGTATCTCAACTTTTTATTTCTTTTTGTGGTTGATGACTAGGTTGAAGAGATTACATGTCCAAAATTTTGGTGCCTAAAAATTCTTAAGGAATGAGTTTAATCAAGAGGGTGTATACTATGCTCCCTTGGGAGCATTTTATATATTTACTCCCTTTAGGACAACATTTATTTCAGAGATTTTTTTTTATATATATATTTCGGGATCTATCTAATTATAACTAGATGATTATTTTCAAGGGAAACGAATTTGCATTTTAAGTTCTTGAACATCTAGATTAGTCACTCCAAAAATTGGATGGTTCCAATGCAATCTTGATATTCCATTTTTTTTAGGGACATAGAGATTTTTTTCTTTTTTTTTGCTTCGAGAATGGTTGGCTGGATTTAGAGATCATATCCCCAAAATTTGTGATCTAATAGATATGACTAATGTAAATTTTGTCCAAGGTAGATGGATAGTATACTCCCACGGAAGTGCGAAATCTTTTGGCTTAAGGAAGAACAAGAGGAAATAGTCCCATCGTATCATCCACTTGATGAAGAGAGGGGGACAGATATCACATGCCTTTCTCATGCGGCTACTTGATAAGATTGACTTTGACACTATGTATTATATTCTCATCCCTAGTCATCACATTGTGGTTTTCATTTTCATAACTAACACCACCCCACTAATACTTTTAGAAAGCTAATTTCTAATTTACTTGAAAAAATAGGTAGGGCCCGTCTTCCCAACTGAATTATCCAAAAAAAAAATTTTCAAAAAAGCCCTAAATTTCAATGCATTTATTCTTTTTGCCCAAAAATTTGAAGATCCAACAAAGACAAAAACATATGAAGTAACTAGTCTCTTTATTCATGAACTTAATCTAAATATTGGCTTACATTACAAACAGTAACTAAGATCCTCTAAGGAAGGACATCTATATGTGTATTGTGTTGTTATTTTAATTTTTTTGGGTGATGGGGGGTTCCATTTATGATATAATGAAACTAGTCTTTAGTATTTTTGTGACCCAAAAATAAAATTTGAAAACCCACATGAAAAAGGGAAAAAAAAATTTTAAACACAATGGACCTAGGCCTTCTATTTAATATGAAGGTTAGATATGAGCCTAATAGGGATTTTTTCCTTCCCAAATTGGTAGGTGGCCTTATCATCACCAAATGAACAATTTGAAAGAAGAAAAAGTTAATGTTTAATATTTGGAGATGTAGATGTGTTACCAAGTGTATGGCATATATTCATTGCGAGATTGGAACTTAGTTGCGCCTTACATATGAAGCCATTTTTTTTCCTTTTCCCTCATATTTTTTTTTGTTTTGGTTTTTTTTTTTTTGGTGATTCATCTTTTGAGATAAAAAAAGTGGGCGTGCAAAATTTTAGGTCATTAAAATTTAAGTCTCACCAGTTAACAATTGGACTTTTCGAGAATTGGTCAAGCAACATGACTCTGTCCATTAGGGAGCATCTACGTACGGTCTTTAAATATTTGTTTTCTTTTTCTCGAAAATTATAAACAAGGTTAGTCAACACAATTTTTTTTTGACAAAACTACCCATCGGTATGAAGATTTCAACTTCGGACCGCGACTTAAGTTTTGAAAAAAGAAAAAACCATTCGAGGATGGTGAAGCGGTCCAAAGATGGCATCCTTGGACTGAGAGGTGATTTGTCAAAAAAAAAAAGATCATGTTGACCGACATTGATTGTAATTTTCGCGTATAAAGGGAGCAACTCATATTTTTCCAACTTATTTATATTCCGTATGTAAATAGCTCTCCATTGGGAAATCAAAACCCCTTTTAGTGAAAATGGAGTTAGAGAGATCTCATCATCGGGCACGTTAATGCTACGGCCAAAGCCCAAGGGCATTCTCTATAAAAAAGATATATTGAGGAACATGAAATAAGATAATCCCCCAGATATATTGAGGAACATGAAATAAGATAGTCCCCACCTAGATATATTGAGGAACATGAAATAAGATAGTCTCCACCTTCCTATTGCCTCCAACTTTGAACATATGGAATACATGAAGTAACATGGGCTTCTATTTTCTTTCTCTATTCTTAATATAATACCTCGATTAATTATAAAAAAAACACATGGCGGTTCAAAAATTGTGGAGGCAGAGGGTCAACTCACGTCATTATTGAGAGAAAACAAGGCATGATAAAAATATTCATGAGCCAATTTTTTTATGTGAATTGTGGGTGTGACAAGAAAATCATCTATTTTAGTGGAAGACCATTTACTTTGACGGGCACCTTGGTCACACACAATTGAACTTTTAAATCTATTTGCTAGACCATACTATAAAGAGGAATTCTTTTTCTCGTTTTTGTGTGCTGTATTGTTTGGAACAAACTACCTTTCTTTTGCTTGTTGTTTTTGAGGAAAGGAAGCAAAATTCATTGAGAGAGATGGATCAATATGGTCCTCTTCTTTCACAAGTCCTCGTTCAAGGCTCCCTTGCGGTTATGAATTTGATTACTAAAGTTGCCTTCCAACAAGGCATGAGTAGTTACATATTTGTGACCTATAGACAGGCCTTTGCCACTTTGGCCATTGCTCCTTTCGCTTATTTCTTGGATAGGTATCTTAGATTCATCTCTCTTTATCTGTAAAATTCAAATAGTAATATACATTTTCAATTATCTTATCAAGATCTATCAGCTATAAGCATGATCTAAACAACTATTTATTTCAAAATCTATTATTAGCTTTGTGTATGTCCAACCTGACGCATTTTAACTTTGTTTAAATTTGGCAGGAATAGGAGGCCTCCTCTATGCTTCAAAACATTTTGTCACATATTTATGCTTTCACTTTTCGCGTATGGACTCCCTTTTCTAGAATTTTTTTTTTTTTTGTTTGGTGAGTCAGTGGAGAAAGGGCCCCTACCATTGGCAGGAATTGAGCCTAGGACTCGTAAATCGTCGGGCGCTAGCCAATAAAGCTAGGGCTTTCCCTTTTTTTATATTTACTTGTGAAAACTACTTTCATGAAAATATTAGCCATATGGTTTTATAAGTGCAGCTTTAAACATCACATTAGGCAGCTAATGGTGCCACGTCCATGAATTTGCAGGGTTCCACTGTGTCAGATACCCTACTTCATCGGGATTGACTACACTTCCTCCACTTTTGCTTCTGTAATGAGTAATCTTATACCCGTGATCACATTTATCTTGGCCTTCTTGCTTAGGTAACTCACACTTGTCCATTTTTTATTCATAACCATACAATCTTCTCTTTTTGGGCTTTGGGTCCTTAAAAACTCCTATTTAAGTAGGTTTGGCAACGGGTTACGTCGGGTCAACCGGACCTGACCAGACCCGGATCACAAAAATATAATGTGGGACTCGAATGTGGATTTAGACTCGATTGGACCCAACTCAAAAATCAAAATATCCATGTCTTATTTAAAGATGTCTTTCGTCAATTCGGATCTGAAAATATGATATGGGACCCACACCCGGACCAGGACCCGGACCCGGACCTAGATCCGACCGCACATGGACCCGAATAGTATTCGGGTCCAAGATTTGAACCCAGACCCACATGCTGGTCCAATTTTTAAACCGATACCTTGACCTATGTCGGGTCAACCCTACGGGTCTGGGACAATTGCCACCCCTATATTAAGGGCCTAGATGCAAGTTTAACTGTGGCTAATGTAGCATAATCAAGGTCAAAAGTATTTCAATGCAGGATCATTGTGGTCAAAAGTGGATCAAACAGACTATACATGCTCATATAATTCTAAGTTCCGAGGGGGTTGTTGTATAGTATATGCTCCCACGGGATCATACTAAAAATGCTAGAATATTTATAGTAGGAAAATTGTTTCATGCAGGTTGGACCGCATGACTACATATGCGGTCCAAAAAGCGTAAAGCATCCATTTTAAAGATGGATGCAAATAGGTGTTTCATCTAAAAACAATGGAAACTAACTGTCCAAATGTTTTTTTATTAAAACTATTATTTATAGTTTTAAAATTTTACTTATTTTTCCATACTCATGATCTCCATGTTAGAGATTATATATCCTAAAAAATTAAGCTAAAAAATCCATATAAAAAATAAATGTATTAATAAGCATGCAATTCTACATATACAAGCTTGGCCGCATAAAAAACGGATCCTTTATAGTATCCACACAGGAAGCATAGAAAATGCCTCATATCTCTCTCTCTTACAAGTTCCAAGCCCCATAGGGTTAAGGAAAGAGAAGGCAGCATTACTCTTAAATGCCTATTTTAATTTTGAAAAGTTCCCAAATAATCAAAAAATTACAATATTGTCTCCAAAAAGGGTAGCATTACCCTAACTTCTTGGTCAATTTGATGTTTGAAAAAGTGCAACGGTACCTGGACATTTAGGGCGGTTTGATGTTTGCTATATCCCCCGACTTATAAGACAGTTTTAAATTTGAGAAGAAAAAAAAAAAAACAAACCGGTCCAATTGGGAACTTCGTACCGAAGGGCAAACCAGGAAAAGTAAAAAACACATGGGAGATGGACCTACGCATAAATTTTGACAAGATGTGGACCTTCTCATAGCTTCAAATCGTTTTTCATGTACTGATTGAAAACTGTTTTTAACTCTTTTCTCTTCCAGAATGGAGAAGGTAAATATAAGGACCTTAAGGGGCTCGGCTAAGGTTTTTGGGACCATCACATGCGTTGGAGGTGCTATGGTCATCAGATTTGTTAAGGCCCATTCTTTGGAGTTCTTTAAACACATCAGAGCACCAAAAACTCTGTCCAATATCTTGCGCATCAATCCCTCTGTTCATTCACCTGATAACTGGACTTTGGGCCCAATTTTGCTAATCTTGAGTGTCACTGCTTATGCATCTTGGATAATTTACCATGTAAGAGAAAGATTTAGTTTCCCATTGTCTCATGTCTCATGGTATATGCTTCTCTGTTTTAATTTAGGAGGTTTTCTTTTGTTGCCATATTCTTAGACATGGGCTTTCGAGGATTATCCAGCTCCGTTGTCATTGACTGCAATGATTTTGTTCATCGGCACAATTCAGGCAGGCCTGGTTGCGATCATCTTTGATAGATCGGATGCTTGGAAGCTACAACTCAACTTCAACCTCTTCACTTATGCTTACAGTGTAATAAATTTATTCCCATTTTGGGCTAAGTGAGATTTACTGTTTTGACATACACACAACTCTCTTTCTGTATCTAAAGACAAATCTCAATTCTCAAGGTTTAATTGGACTTGGGTTGTTTTAGATTTTGAGAAGCAAGCATTCTGCAATTATTTTCCCAGGGTATCATGTGTTCCGCTCTAGCATTCTTCATTCAAAGCTGGTGCATCGAGAAGAAAGGCCCCGTCTTTACATCTGCATTTACCCCTTTATGCACAGTAACCGTCGCTTTTCTTGAGCCCATCATACGTCATGTGAACATTTATGTCGGGACGTAAGCACATTCCCCGTCTCTATCTTTCTGCCCAAGTAGTTGATGATATTAATGGGTTGCATTTGGTTTTGCAGTTTAGTAGGGATGATTATGGTGTTGTGTGGGCTTTATTCAGTATTGTGGGGCATGGGAAAGGACAGAAAGTCTAGCTCAAAGATATTGCCTATCCAGAATGAAGAGGACTTCATGGATGAAGATGAAAGAGTGTTACAAGAGGAGGATATCTTGGATGGAGATGAGAAAGAGAGGGAAGATGGCATGATTCAGGTGATGGTAATGGAAAACCCAAAGTGGAATGACTGGTTTCTTGGTGCAGAAGTACTTGTTTTGGAGGATTAGGAAAAGAGGTTCACACCAAACCCAATTGAGGTCAACTGCTCTGTCATGCATTGATTCTCTTGCTATAGCCCCTTTTTGAGCTAGTTATCAACCCAGATTTTCGACAAAGGCAACGAAGTGGCAGATTGATAACTGACTATAGGTGCTCCAGTTATAATTACTAGGATTTTCCCTCCAGTTCAGCTACCTTGGGGCCATTGTGGATTCAGCTGATACACTGGATTCTGTTCAATATGTTTTAGTAATTTACATGAAGCAAAAGGCTATATGTGGGGAAACCTACCCTACATATGGTTTCTAGTAGTTGCTCTTTCTTTTATACTGCTTACACATGAGTTGCTTTTTAAGTTTCATTTCAACTAATGAGCGTTTTGTATGTTTAAGTTTAAAAGATCAAGCTCTCCGTTTTTTTGGAATGGTAAAAAGATCAAGCTCTCCTTATGTACAATTTTTTTTGAGCTTTTTATCCTCCCCCAAATGTTTTTCGTATCACATCCTACTGTTTTTTATTGTATTCACCATATCAAAAAGTCAAAAAAAACAAATTAAAAACTACAATGCCTTTCTCCTCTCGCTCTCTATGGCTCTCTTTCTACCCAGCCTCTCTACCCCCTCTCTCTCTACCGCCTCTCTCACTCTCTCTTTCTCTCTCTATTTCTCTATTTCTCTTTTTTTCTCTACCGGCACTCTCCCTTTCTCTCTCTACCACCCTCGCTCTCTCCCCTCTTTCTCTTTCTCTTTCTTGATCCAAAGAGAGACAAAGTGGAAAAAATGGACAAAGAGAGATTGGGATTGAAAAAAGAGAAAAAATAGATTGAGAGATTGGAAGAGAGATTTTGGAAGAAAGAAAATGGAGAAAATGGGTTGAGAGAGATTGAGTTTTATTATATCCATTTTTTTCGCTCTCTCCCAAAATCTCTCTAGAGAGGAGATAGAGGGCTAGTAGAGAAAGGAAGAGAGAGGATGGGTAAAGAGAGAGAAAGAGAGATAAAAAGAGGGCAGGTAGAGAGAGTGAGGGAGGATGGGTAGAGAGAGGGTGGGTCGAGAGAGAGTGAGAGAGAGGACGAGTAGAGAGAGAGAAAGAGATGGTGAATAGAGAGTGAGAAAAGAGAAGCACATTTTAAACTCAATTTTTTTTTACTATTTAATTAAGGGTAAATACAAGATAAAACCGTGTTTGGGTCGAATGTGTGATACTAAAGGTGTATTGGATGACAAAAAGTTAGAGAGAAAATGATGGAACTTAAATGCTACTATTCATGTTTTGTGTTCGGTAAAAAACCTAAGTTATGTAAAGAACTTCATTTTACTTTAGCTTTTCCCACCTTTAGTCATGAAAAATGTTCCGTGGAAAACCATAGAACTTAAAAAAGGACCTTCATATTTCAAGTTCGCAGATAAAATTCTCCTTTACTCATGAAAAATGTTCCGTGGAAAACCATAGAACTTAAAAAAGGACCTTCGTATTTCAAGTTCACAGATAAAATTGTCTCCTTAAAAAGTTTTCATCACCCTTCTCTTCGCACCTCAGAAACTTACTCTGCCTCGTTTATCACCTGCCTATACCAACAAGGGAAATATATGCATTGCTGGAAAAAAGTTCTTGCAACTTTTTCTTATTCACTAAGAGAAAATTCAGCTAGTTTGGGATATGTTCCTTGGCATGGTAGAAATTTTACGAGATTATGCAGATTTTCATGGTTAAACTCCTCCTCTGCAAATATAGGGCTTGGATTCTGCTTAACAAGTATGGTATCTATGTATCTCAGTTTTGATTAACTGTCATTCGTGATGCTTCTCTACTGCATGTATTGGACCAAATTTAGGTATTTTCATGCCATGCTTTGATAATTTAAAATTTTCAATGGATTTTCCGGACTTACCATGTTGATTTGGCGTTTTATAAGATGGGGTATTGTGTTTCACCTTTGAACTTATTTTCTTCTAAAAATGTGAGGAATTTGGGCCTATTTGGTATACTTGTAAAGTATAAGAGGTTCTCTGATTGATGCATTTGCTGGATCTTTTTTCTTTCGATTTTGATTGACTGGTTTTCTTCTACAGTATGAATTTCACCGAGATTTACTTGATTATGTTTTTATTAGCAGTATAGATTTGGAGTTTTGATGATGCAAATTGTTCTTTATGGTGATTGTCTGCATTTTGCTAGGTCATAGTACTATTCTCTATATTGCTATGTTTGAATATCCTATCTTATTGTTCTAATATTTGTAATCAGTTTTTAAGTCAATTCCGTTGCTTCCTACCGGTGTTTTCACTATCAAATTCCATTAAAAATTCATAAAGATTAATAATTTCTAGGTCTCAATCTTAAGATTCCACATCTTGCCTAAAACTTCTACAGCTAATCAAACACAGATATCCAGACCTTCCTAATCTTCCAGCATGTTATCAAACACAGGTACTTAAAACTTCTTTAACATTCCAATAGGTTATCAAATACAAAATCCCGGAACTTCTTATAGTAACTTCTTTCTTCTCAACAAAGAATAACTTCCAATTTTCAAGAAACATTTACTTTTCAGTTATCAAACAGGTTCTAAAAGTCAAAAAGATGTCTATAAAGTTCATTTTGAGAATATTTATAATCTTTTCTATATTTTAAAAGTCATTGTTTTTTTGATGAACCAAAATTTAATTAAAGGAGTGCTTTGGAGTAAAAGAGTGAAATAGATGTACATCATAATGAAGAGATGCATCGCCATCAATTCTGATCGAAGAACTTCCCTAGTGGCTTATTTGAAGACATTTCTTCCAATTCTTGCTAATTCATCTCCCACCCAATTGACATGTCTTGAAGCACACACGAAATAAAACTTTCTAATGGACTTGAGCCGGAGTTTGACTTCAACCAAACTCCAGCAAAGGGGAATGAGTGGGTCTTCAATTGACCGTCTGATACAGCTCCTGCCTCAGATTCAAAAATCGAAGCGAGATCTAAACGACTGAAAGATTTGATGAAGGGATGATTCAAGCCTTACGATTATGAATGACCAGGCCACCACTGGACAAGTCTGAAATAGCACCATTAGTGTTTAAATTTAGCCAGTTCGATGGTGGTGAGGTGCAAGTCCTATGGAGCAATAGGCCCTTCTGAAAATAAGAACTTAAACTGAGTGAAAGGCCCTACTTATTAATAAAAATAAAATTCAAGAATCTTATTTTTGAAAATAAAAAAATAAAAAAACATAAAAAAAAATATATTGCATGTAACAAGATAGGAAAGAGTCTATTATACTATTGTATCATTATTATATATACAATTAAAAAACGACCACAGTGTGTGTGGGGTACAATTATTTTTGGCAAAAGTTCCATTCTCTCTCTAAAATTCTTCATGGTATCGGGATCTCCTTCGATCTAATTCTTTTTACTGATCACATCTCCAAGTCTCTCTCTCTCTGCATTGTTATTTTATCAAGCCCATTGTATTTCCTTTACTCCATCATCATCTTACTACCCATCATCTTAACATTACCTTTCTCATATTTCTGCTCATGTGAGATCCTCAATCGTCTTTCTTTCTCTTCAAGCAACCATATCATCTTCTCATCCATCGCCAATATTATTTTGTCACTCGAGATCATCAAGCATCCATATTGTCTTCTCATCCATTATCTTCCAATCAAACAATATTATCTTTCTTTCTCTCACGAACATCTTCTCACAACCATCATCTTCTCATGCCATCATCTTCATAAAATACATGAGTTATCATCTCCTCACTCTATTATCTTTCTTCTCGTAGTAATCGGTATTTGATTGGGTACTCTATACTCAATATAGAAATATTTCTATCCTCCACCCATAACATAGGAAATTTTAAGTCAATTAAATTGACACAAAATAATTATCTGTTATAGAAAACTCAAATACTATCACTAATTGAGAGTCAAAAACATTCTGGACTTATTTATGGTGATTGTTGTCACCAAGTCAAAATATTTCCTCACCTGATGGTAAGAGTGAAATCGTAAATACAAACTACAAATTATGCCTAACGTTCGACCAACTTCTTAAAATCTAGATCACAGGGATGCTGTCAGGAGAGTGTCTCAGTCTTGTGGTTGGCCTTAAAACTTTTGCAGAAGTATGAAAAGTTCTGAAGAATGCCTATTCAAGTATTTCTCCAACTCTACAATAAAGAGAATTTGACTTTATCATAATACAGATGCAGATTCAAGAGTATTTCTGATGATTCTGCTATTATTGACAAACCTGTACCAGATGAAAATAAGGTATTTTGCTATCTTAATGGACTTAATACAAAATATGAGAGTTTTGTTATCACTATGCTTAAGCATTTGATTCGTTCCGTGTTATGAAATTATACCACTTCTTCAAAGCCTTAAGATTAAAAATCAGCCTCAAGTCTCTAAAGAAAACTCATATCCAAATCAGAATATAGGCCTTGTTAGTCAGAAGAGAAAATTTGGATCTAACAAGGGTACTAGAAATTACAGAGGTAGAGGGAGAGACAACTTTAGTGGTCAACAATCTTTCAATTCTTAGAGGTGTGGATTTGCTCAAACATGCCAAAACAATAACGGGAGATGTGGTGTGCCTTAGAAAAACCAAGAAAGTGGTAGTACACCTATATAACATGTGAATCAAAGGTTCCAGCAAGATTCATAGATACAATTAGCTCTGACACCCCAGGAAAAGTGTCAAATTTGTAGAAAATTTGGACATATTATATTTAAGTGCTGACACCGATTTAATCATATGTACAAAAAAAAAGACATTCCTCATAGCAAATACCCAGGACTCGGAATGGTTCCCCGACATTGGTGCCTCAACTCATATGACCAGAGACACAGGTAAACTACAAAACCTTCGCCCTTATAGTGGTAGAGATACAATCACGATTGGAAATAGTGAGCAATTGACTATTTCATATGTTGGTGATGAAAATATTGATGTTGGATCAGAAAAATTTAATATTTCTAATGTTCTTTTTGTGCTAGAGATGAAAAATAATTTATTATATGCAGCCAGTTTACAAAATATTTTCCTTGTATTTTTTAGTTCTCATCAGATGGTTTTCTGATTAAAAAAAAGTGCACAAGGCTCTAGCCAGCGGGAGAAGAAAGAGTAGACTTTATGCACTTGAGGATCTCAAGAAGGCTTTATTTTCTAATCGAAATAAGAGAAAATTGTTGTAAGGTTCTTCTTCACACTTG